TATTGTGTATTTTAGATATAGAATGCATACATTTATATTACATATTGTGTGTATCATATATATAGTGCATATATTTATATTTCGTATTGTATGTATATATAGTGCATACATTTATCCTGCATATTGTGTGTATCACACACACACACACATATTTATATTGCATATTGTGTATTTTAGATATAGAATGCATACATTTATATTACATATTGTGTGTATCATATATATATATATATAGTGCATATATTTATATTGCATATTGTATGTATATATAGTGCATAGATTTATCCTGCATACTGTGTGTATCACACACATACACATATATTTATATTGCATATTGTGTATTTTAGATATAGAGCGCATACATTTATATTGCATATTGTGTATTATATATATATATACAGTGCATATATTTACATTGCATATTGTGTATTTCAGATATAGAGTGCGTAAATTCATATTGCATACTGTGTGTATTATATATACAGTGCATATATTTATATTGCCTTTTGCGTGTAATATATACATATATTATTTACATTGTGTACATATTTATATTGTATGTCATATGTATTTTATATATAATGAATATATTGATATTGCATATTGTGTGTATCATATATATATATATAGTGCATATATTTACATTGCATATTGTGTATTTCAGATATAGTGCGTAAATTCATATTGCATACTGTATTATTATATATACAGTGCATATATTTATATTGCCTTTTGCGTGTAATATATACATATATTATTTACATTGTGTACATATTTATATTGTATGTCATATGTATTTTATATATAATGAATATATTGATATTGCATATTGTGTGTATCATATATATATATATAGTGCATATATTTACATTGCATATTGTGTATTTCAGATATAGTGCGTAAATTCATATTGCATACTGTATTATTATATATACAGTGCATATATTTATATTGCCTTTTGCGTGTAATATATACTTGTTTACATTGTGTATATATTTATATTGTATGTTGCATGTATTATATATATAATTAATATATTGATATTGCATATTGTGTGTATTATATATATTATATACTACATTGTTTTACAAAAATTATATGTTTTTTGGTAAACAATCTGTGTCTAGAATAAAAGTTATATATGTGTGTGTGAGTTTGCCCCAAATGACATACAGAATTTTGTATAGCCACTTCTGTGTGTGTGTGTGTGTGTGTGTGTATATATAATTCAAATGTATACATATATAATTGCAAAACTTATCCAGGGAATTGTTGCAAATCTGACTCTCTCTCCCTCATTGTTTTGCAATCAGAAGGAGAGGCTGGGAGAGAAAAAAGCTGGCAAAAGGGGAAGGAAAACATGAGTCAAAGGGTGAGGCTTTTCCTTATTGTTATTGCTGTTCCATAATTGCACCCGCACTGGGGAATTAACGCGGTTTGGCACCGCTTTTAGCCTGCAAAGGTCCAGTGCAGTCCTGGGGTAAGTCCTTGCCTCCCCAAAGGGGGGACCACATACCCCAGGGATCTTTGGCAGGAGAAGCGGTATCAAACCGCATCAAATCTACAGTGTAGACGCACCTTAAACCCGGATTTAAAATGCATCAAAGTAGTAATAGCTTTGGCCTTTCCTTACTTACCTGGAGGAGAAAGCAGAGGAGGGTTGATTCTTGAAGAAGCAGAGGCACCAAAATGGCAAAAATAAATAAGGATATATTTAAATATATTTAAATATAGGTTAAATTCAATTAATTCCCAACCCTCTTTTTTGCACCAAGCAGTCCAGACTTGAAAGAGGAGAAAAGAACAGGAAAAAGCAAAACACAAAATGGCAATAAATAAATAAAAATAAAATAAGGATATATTTAAATATTAAAAAATAAGTTAAATAATATTAAATATATGGTTTTTATTTTATTAAATATATTGTTTTTATTTATTTTTGCCATTTGTGTTTTGTATTTTTTCTGTTCTTTTCTCCTCCTTCCAAGCCTGGACTGCTTSGTGCYAAAAGGTTGGAATTTAATAGAATTTACCTATATTTAAATGWATTTTMTTARKTATATATATATAAAAAAATACATTTAAATATAGGTAAATTCTATTAAATTGCTTGGTGCAAAATGGTTGGAATTTAATAGAATTTACCTATATTATATATAMYTAATATATATTTCTCCTCCTTCCAAGCCTGGACTGCTTGGTGCAAAWAGGTTGGAATTTAATAGAATTTACCTATATWACCTATATATATYTTASYTYWYTARATACWTACKRARARARARARASYRACARARARARARASYRACACYTATATYTATATAACCTYTATATAACCTSTSTSTSTSTATATYTATAVAMYMAMAVAMYTATARATATASASASASASAGGTRARARATATATATAMYTATYTYTYTYTYTYTTACSTYTYTYTYTYTGTYRSTYTYTYTYTYTAMGTATYTATATATMTACCTATATATATATAGGTAATATAGGTAAATTCTATTAAATTCCAACCTTTTTGCACCAAGCAGTCCAGGCTTGGAAGGAGGAGAAAAGAACAGAAAAAATACAAAACACAAATGGCAAAAATAAATAAAAACAATATATTTAATAAAATAAGTTAAATAAATATTAAATATATATTAAATACATTTAAATATAGGTAAATTCAATTAAATTCTAACCCTCTTTTTGCACCAAGCAGCCCAGACTTGGAGGAGGAGAAAAAGACAGAAAAAATACAAAACACAAATGGCAAAAATAAATAAAAATAAAATAAGGAAATAAAAGTAAAAAATATATTTAATAAAATAAGTTAAATAAATATTATATATATATATATTAAATACATTTAAATATAGGTTAAATTCAATTAAATCCCAACGCTCTTTTTTTGCACCAAGCAGCCCAGACTTGAAGGAGAAAAGAACAGGAAAAATACAAAACAATAATGGCAATAAATAAAAATAAATAAATAAATAAAAATAAAATAAGTTAAATAAAAATTAAATATATATATATTAAATAAATTTAAATATAGGTTAAATTCAATTAAATCCCAGACTGGAAGGAGAAAAGAACAGGAAAAAACAAAAACAAAACACAAATGGGATAAAGAAATAAAAATAAAATAAGTTAAATAAAAATCAATAAGGATATATTTAAATATATATTAAATAAAGGTAAATTCAATTAATCCCAACCCTCTTTTTGCACCAAGCAGTCCAGTTTGAAGGAGAAAAGAAGAGGAAAAAAACACAAATGGCAAAAATAAATAAAAATAAGGATATATTTAAATATATAGATATATTTAAATATTAAATATATATTAAATAAATTTAAAAATAGGTTAAATTCAATTAAATCCCAACCCTCTTTTTTTTGCACCAAACAGCCCAGACATGAAGGAGAAAAGAACAGAAAAAATACAAAACACAATGGCAAAAAAGGATATATTTAAATATATAATATTTAAATGTTAAATATATAATAAATATATTTAAATATAGGTTAAATTCAATTAAATCCCAACCCTCTTTGTTGCACCAAGCAGTCCAGACTTGAAAGAGGAGGAAAAAAAACAGAAAAAATTCAAACAAAAAGGATTGCAAAAAAATAATAAAAATAAAATAAGGAAATAAATAAAAATAAAATTAAATATAGGTTAAATTCAATTAAATCCCAGCCCTCTTTTTTGCACCAAGCAGTCCAGACTTGAAGGAGAAAAATACAGAAAAAAATACAAAACACAAATGGCAGGAAAGGATATATTTAAATATATAAGATTAAATATAAGATTAAATATAATATTAAATATAATATTTAAATATTATATATATATTAAATAAATGTAAATACAGTTTAAATTCAGTTAAATCCCAACCCTTTTTGTTGCACCAAGCCGTCCAGACATGAAGGAGGAGAAAAAGACAGAAAAAATACAAACAAAAAGGATTGCAATAAATAAAATAAAATAAGGAAATAAAAATAAAAAATATATGTAAATATTGCTAAATTCAATTAAATCCCAGCCCTCTTTTTGCACCAAGCAGCCCAGACTAAAAGGAGAAAAGAACAGAAAAAAATACAAACAAAAAGCATTGCAAATAAAAATAAAATAAGGAAATAATATATATAGATATATTAAATATATTTAAATATAGGCTAAATTCAATTAAATCCCAACCCTCTTTTTGCACAAAGCAGTCCAGACTTGAAGTAGAAAAGAACAGAAAAACACAAATGGCAAAACTAAATAAAAATAAAGATATATTTAAATATATAGATATATTTTAAAATATTAAATATATAATAAATATATTTAAATATAGGTTAAATTCAATTAAATCCCAACCTTCTTTTTGCACCAAGCAGTCCAGACTTGAAAGAGGAGAAAAAGACAGAAAAAAAATACAAAACACAAATTGATAAAAGGATATATTTAAATATATAATATTTAAATATTAAATATATATATAAAATAAATCTAAATATAGGTTAAATTCAATTAAATCCCAACCCTCTTTGTTGCGCCAAGCAGTCCAGACTTGAAGGAGGAGAAAATAACAGGAAAAATACAAAACACAAATGGCAAAAAAGGATATATTTAAATATATAATATTTAAATATTAAATATATATTAAATAAATGTAAATATAGGTTAAATTCAATTAAATCCCAACCCTCTTTGTTGCACCAAGCAGCCCAGACATGAAGGAGGAGAAAAGAACAGGAAAAAACCTCCAAAAACCAAACAAAAAGCATTGCAACAAAAAAAATATAGTAAAAAATGCAAACCTGGGAGGTTTTGCAAAGAGAAGCCCAGGGGCGGCCTTGAAACCGCCGCTCCACATTCCCAGCCTCGCCACTCCCATTGAGCCGCCGAGGGGAAGCCTTGAAACTTCCCAAGCCCCGCCCCTTTTCCCCGGGCGCGCCATTGATTGGTTTTATAAGAATGGCGGGGAGCCAGGGCTTGTTTTGCATAAGCGCCAGAGCGACAGGCAGGGCCGGCCAATGAGAGCGCGGGAATGGATGCGCTCCCACCAATAGCAGCAGAAGGGGCGGGACTTAGTGAACAATGCTTGTTTCATAGCAAAAGAAGCTTTTTTTAAACTTGGGAGCTAATTTTTTTCTGTTTTTTAGAGATCTGGAAGGAAAAAAAAAGGGGAAAAAGGGGGGAGTTTGTGTGTAATGCATTTCTATCCCAACCCTTTGCTGTATATGGAAGCTTCTCTCCCCCAGCCAAGCTGCACTACCCATTTGGAGTGGATTTAATCCGGATTAAAAGAGTCCAAACGGGAAAAAAAGGAGGGATCTTGCTTTCGAGGTGGAGATCTTCTTGCTTTAGATCCAGGAGGAAGGAAAGAGGAAGAACAGCCCTTTTGGAAATGCATTGCTTTGGAGGAACTTGATTTTTGTTTTGGTTGCAAATATATTAAATATATATTTATATATATTTTTGGGTGGGTGGCTTTGGAAAATAGAATTGCAGGAAAAATGCCAAAGAAGAGGATGGAATAAGGGGGGAAATATACCCCCCTTTTTGCAATACCAAGGTAAGAGCAACTCTTGTTTATTTTTTTTTGCAAAACTTAGGAAAACATTAAATGGAAAAGGAAAACATTGACTTTGCTTCTGCAATTCAGCTTTTAAGTCTAAAAGGGATCTTTCCAAAAATATGAACCTAGATTAGATTGCTTTCCAAGCCCAGATCTATGTATATTAAATAGAAAAGGGAAAATATATTTAATATATTATATTTTGTATTTAATATAAATATTAAATGCAAAAGGGACTTTTCTCTTGCAATCCCCTTTTAAGTCTTAAAGAGATCTTTCCAAAAATATAAACCCAGATTAGATTGCTTTCCAAGCCCAGATCTATGTATATTAAATAAAAATGGGAAAATATATTTAATATATTATTTTTTGTATTTAATATATATATATTAAATGGAAAAGGGACTTTGCTTTTGCAATCCCCCTTTAAGTCTTAAAGGTATCTTTCCAAAAATATGAACCTAGATTAGACTGCATTCCAAGCCCAGATGTATATATATTAAATAGAAAAGGGAAAATATATTTAATATATTATATTTTTGTATTTAATATATATATATTAAATGCAAAAGGGACTTCGCTTTTGCAATCCCCCTTTAAGTCTTAAAGGGATCTTTCCAAAAAAATATGAACCTAGATTAGATTGCATTCCAAGCCCAGATCTATGTATATTAAATAGAAAAGGGAAATATATTTAATATATTATATTTTGTATTTAATATAAATATTAAATGCAAAAGGGGAAAAGGGACTTTTCTTTTGCAATTCATCTTTAAGTCTTAAAGGGACCTTTCCAAAAAATATGAACCTAGATTAGATTCCATTCCAAGCCTAGATGTATATATATTAAATAGAAAAGGGAAAATATATTTAATATATTATATTTTTGTGTTTTATATATATATATATTAAATACAAAAGGGACTTTGTTTTTGCAATTCATCTTTAAGTCTTAAAGAGACCCTTCCAAAAATATGAACTTGGATTAGATTCCATTCCAAGCCCAGATCTTCCCTATATACTAAATAAAAAAGGGAATATATATTTAATATATATATATATATATATATATATATATATAATTTTGCAATTCACCTTTAAGTCTTAAAGAGACCCTTCCAAAAAATATAAACCTAGATTAGATTCCATTCCAAGCCCAAATCTATATATATTAAACAGAAAAGGGAAAATATATTTAATATATATATTAAATGCAAAAGGAAAAAAGGGCCTTTTCTTTTGCAATTCACCTTTAAGTCTTAAAGGGACCCTTCCAAAAAAATATGAACTTAAATTAGATTCCATTCCAAGCCCAGATCTTCCCTATATATTAAATACAAAAGGGAAAATATATTTAATATATATATATTAAATGCAAAAGGGAAATATATACACACACACATTTTGTTTTGATTTCATATATATGGTTGGGTTGGGAAAAAGGAGCCAAAAGAATTGCAGAAAAGATGCCAAAGAGGATGGAATAAGGGGGAAAATACTCCCTTTTGCAATAACAACTCTTATTTTTTTGCAAAACTTGGGAAAGCATTAAATACAAAAGGAAAAAAAATGGCTTTTCTTTTGCAAATCACTTTGAAGTCTTAAAGGGACCCTTCCCAAATATATAAACCTAGATTAGATTCCATTCCAAGCCCAGATCCTTCCCATCATCATAATATATATGGATATTATTTAATAATAATAATAATACATGTGAACCTAGATTAGATTCCATTCCAAGCCCAGATCTTCCCATCATCATAATATATATGGATATATAATAATAATAATAATAATAATAATAATAATAATAATCTTTATTAAAAACCCGCCACCATCTCCCCAAAGGGAGATATATATTATTTTAGATATATTTAGGATTTTATTTTATTTTAGAATATTATTTTCTTTTCCAGGAATATTTTTGAATATACACACACATTGTGTGTGTGTGTGTGTGTGTGTGTGTATGTATGTACACACACACACACAGGGAGATATATATTATTTTAGATATATTTAGGATTTTATTTTATTTTAGAATATTATTTAGTTTTCCAGGAATATTTTAGAATATATACACACACATATATGTGTGTGTGTGTATGTATGTACACACACACACAGGGAGATATATATTATTTTAGATATATTTAGGATTTTATTTTATTTTAGAATATTATTTAGTTTTCCAGGAATATTTTAGAATATATACACACACACATATATGTGTGTGTGTGTGTTGTGTGTGTGTATGTATGTATGTACACACACACACACAGGGAGATATATATTATTTTAAATATATTTAATATATTATATTTAGAATTTTATTTTATTTTAGAATATTATTTTGTTCTCCAGGAATATTTTAGAATACACACACACATATTGTGTGTGTGTGTGTGTGTGTATCTGGAAGATCTGAGCTTGAAATGGAATCTAATCTAGGTTCATATTTTTGGAAGGGTCCCTTTAAGAATTGCAAAAAAGAGGCCAAAGTAGAGGATTAAATAGGTGGGAAAATACTCCCTTTTGCAATAACAAGGTAAGAGCAACTCTTATTTTTTTGCAAAACTTGGGAAAACATTAAATACCAAAGGGTAAAAAGAGATTTTTCTTTTGCAATTCACTTTTAAGTCTTAAAAGGACTCTTCCAAACAATATGAACCTAGATTAGATTCCATTCCAAGCCCAGATCTTCCCTCTCTATGTATGTGTGTGTGTGTGTGTGTATATATATATATATATATGTGTGTGTGTGTGTGAATATATATTCATATATATTCTAAAATATTCTTAGAAAATCAAATAATGTTCTAAAATCAAATCAAATATTATTCTAAAATAAAATAAATAATTGTATAAAAATAAAATAATAATATCCTTATAATATAATATCCTAAGTAATATTCTAAAATAAAACCAAATAATATTATAAAATAAAATCAAATAATTTTCTAAAAAATAAAATCAAATAATATATTTATAATATAATATCTTAAAATAAAAGCAAGTAATATTCTAAAATAAAAGCAAATAATATTCTAAAAAATAAAATCAAATAATAATATCCTTATAATATAACATCCTAAAACAAAATCAAGTAATATTCTAAAATAAAACCAAATAATATTCCAAAAATAAAATCAAATAATTTTCTAAAAAATAAAATAAAATAATAATATCCTTATAATATAATATGCTAAATTAAAAGCAAGTAATATTCTAAAATGAAAGCAAATAATATTCTAAAAAATAAAATCAAATTATAATATCCTCATAAGATAATATCCTAAAATAAAAGCAATATTCTAAAATAAAACCAAATAATATTCTAAAATAAAATCAAATAATTTTCTAAAAAATAAAATAAAATAATAATATCCTTATAATATAATATGCTAAATTAAAAGCAAGTAATATTCTAAAATAAAAGCAAATAATATTCTAAAAAATAAAATCAAATTATAATATCCTCATAAGATAATATCCTAAAATAAAAGCAAGTAATATTCTAAAATAAAACCAAATAATATTCTAAAATAAAATCAAATAATTTTCTAAAAAATAAAGTAAAATAATAATATCCTTATAATATAATATGCTAAATTAAAAGCAAGTAATATTCTAAAATAAAACCAAATAATATTCTAAAAAATAAAATGCAATTATAATATCCTAAAATAAAAGCAAGCAAGTAATATTCTAAAATAAAACCAAATAATATCCTAAAATAAAATCAAATAATTTTCTAAAATAAAATCAAATAATAATATCCTTATAATATTATAATATCCTAAAATAAAATCAAGTAATATTCTAAAATAAAACCAAATAATATTCTAAAAAATAAAATGCAATTATAATATCCTAAAATAAAATCAAGTAATATTCTAAAATAAAACCAAATAATATTCTAAAATAAAACCAAATAATATTCTAAAAAATAAAATGCAATTATAATATCCTAAAATAAAAGCAAGTAATATTCTAAAATAAAACCAAATAATATCCTAAAATAAAATAAAATAATTTTCTAAGAAATAAAATCAAATAATAATATCCATATAATATAATATCCTAAAACAAAATCAAGTAATATTCTTAAATAAAACCAAATAATATCCTAAAATAATATCAAATAATATTCTAAAATAAAATTCTAATAAAATAACAAAAAATAATATCTTTATAATATAATATCCTAAAATAAAACAATATTATCCAATAAGATTCTAAAAAAAATATTCTAAAAGGTATATTTTTATTGTTAATTTCCCTTCCAAAAAAAATACATGCATTTGGAACAGATCATGGCAACAGAGGAGCTTTGAACTTTGCAAAAACTTGATTGCATTGCTGCAGAGGGAAATAATATGGAGGTGGGGGGGGGGCATTTTAAAACCCCCCAAAATAACATTGCAATTAATGATAGGATTTATAATTTGGGGTGGGATCATTAGTGCAATGTTTCCTCTTCCAAATGCATGCATTTATTTTTCCTTCCAAGATTTGCTTCTTTCTCCATTTGCTCTCAAAGAGTGTATACATATTTTTGGGATGCTCTATAGATACATTTTTGGGGTGTATGTTAACAAAATAATATCAGAATCATAAACAGACTCTTTCCCCCCTATTTTGGCCCTATATCTTTAGGGAAAATAACCAGAAAAAGCAGGCATTCTTTTGGTGGGAGGGAAAAATAAAGCTGTTTTTAATTAAAAGCAAGGGATGCAGCCATATTGGGTGAGGAAAGAAGGGAAGGAAAAGTTGCAGAAGGAGGAAAAGAAGGATGTGTATGGCCCATCCCTCCTTCCATTTGGGGGTTTTCCATAGGGAGATATACATTTTCCCTTTACAAATCCCATTAGGGAGGAAGGAATGATGGAAATAGGATTATTATTATTATTATTGTATCATATCCCCATATTTTTCCCCCCAAAAAGAGAGAAAACCAGATTTTTCCCCATCTTCCTTTAATACAAATTGAATGC